ATCCTGAGAGGACTTATTAAAAATAAATCCGAAAAAGGCGCATCGAAAGTAATCATAAACCAAAATGGGGTACAAAACCAAAGAGTGCCACACAAAAAGAATCAACCGAGTTTCCCCTAATGAGTTTGGCTAATGATTTAACAGTGAAACATCGAAACACTTGAGACTGATGCTCAAATCTTGATCCTATAGGACTGGTTATGTGCAAACATAGTGGTGGTGATGGTGCTGCTGCTGAACCTGTGCCTAGCCTTTCTCTTCATAAATCTTGTGAACAACGCCGGAAAGTTAGGTCCTCCAACAGCGCAGGTGACAGAGCTCTCACCGGAGGAGAAACGCGCTGCCGCTAGCGCCGCCGCTGAGGCTGTGCAAAAAGCGCTTCGTGCTGCCAATGCAGCTTCGCGCTCTGCAACTTCGTCAGTCTCCCGGCCAAAAAGCTAACATCTCTACCAAACACTGTTCCCCGCCTTTCGACCCCCTTCCTTTGCTCTTCGCTCCTTCCGGCCTTCTTTCGATAGCATAACGTGACATAATCGCTTCACGGCTGCCGGCAGCTCGTGTCTCTATACTTTCAACACCGCAATTTCTAACTGCAATATCATAATCTTTCGCGCCAGTGTTTCACATCATTTATTCACACTCAGAGCATTCTGACTTCGGCTCGACCAATGAGCCCTCAACTTTCTTTCGGGCGACATGAAGGACGGTTGAGAAGACGCAAGGCACGCCCGTTTGCTCAACCCATTATCATTAGTGAAATCACATCTGCCTCCCCTCAACCCTTCACTTCCACCTTCCTCGTTTTATGGTGTCTGTGCAAGTCGAAGCGTTTAGCTTTCGTGTAGAAAAAAAAACGTCCTCTCCCTTCTGTCTAAATGTTATTGCTATTTCTGTCTATCCCCATTGTGTTCTCCAATCCCTTAGAGTTTGTGTAAATGACACTCGACTCCAAAATGGAAGCTGGAGTAGACAAGGTGTTTTTGATGAGTGAGAAAGGTGCGTAGGTTCTGAGTACACCACCACTCCATATATATATACATACCGACTGACCCCCAACGCACTGTCTTGATCTTGACCGAATCACTTGCGCCCCTTCTGCTGTTTATGAGCTGTTAGATCTCCTCCTCACTCTCTTCCCCATCCTTGCGTCCCGATGGAACATATTTCACTCACCTCTATTCATTAAATAAACTAAAAATCCAAAAAGGCTCCGCCAAACCCCTTATTAATACCTTAAACTAGGCTCTATGTGAGACATCCCAATCTGTCTGGCCTAAGTCATGCAACAAAGAGCAGCAGCTGTATGCATAAAAATCATACTTTAAAACAACGCACAAATGACAATACAGCAAACATTGCATTCATTCCACTAATGTAGTCGTTTCTCCCAAAATGCAATACTTGAAATAAAAAAAACTGAACTAGAATTACAACGAATCTGATTTCAAAAATCCCATAAGCTAAACGAATTATCGCTTTCCATAGCATCAATGATAACTCTGTAGAAGATTTCGCCACTCGACTGCAAACCCGCTTTGAAGCTGGACGCCTGCGGTAGGAAGGTCGAGTCTGATGAGAGCCTGTAAGACTTGAGACAGAACCTGTATATGAATCAAAGGCTAAAACAGAATTTCGATAATTTTCTTGAGCAACCTCCAAAATCCGGACTACACTTTTATGCTAACAGCGCCCACCGTTACGAAATGGGCACCAATTAGGAACTTTCTAGGCTCCAAACTGAGCTCAGCCACTGCAGAACGAAGGACCATCAAAGTTGAGGGAGGCTGAATACAACCCATCGCAAAGCTTTTTTTGCATTAAATATGCAGAAAATTAAACTGAAAATATAGTCATACCACA